CAGGACTGCTGTTGAAATTGTTGTAACACTTCACGATTTATCTTCATTTTATTTCTCTTCCCACTTCTTTCTGAAGGGGTCTAGAATATAATTTTCTAGTTGGAATTTCTCTTTTTGTACTTAGGACTTGTTATGCTCGCACAGGCAAGTTTTCTTTTGTTTTTACAAACAGCCTGATTGCAGGTTTTAAAATAATACGTATCTGTTCAGAATCTACAGGATACTGTAAACCCAAAAGAGAAAATTTTGAGACATATTAGCCTTGTTGCGCCACCTGAGCAGCACAACACATTGAAAACAGGAGGAAAGAGTCTGAACTTATGTCCCCTTGAAAAAAAATACCCACTTACAACATTGTGACCACGATTTTGCAGTGTTTTTTTTTTTAAAAATGTAGATTTCCCTTCCTAGACAAACAAACCACACCAAGCATAGAACTAATTTAATTTATTGATCACATACAGGTACTTCCTTTGTGATGTTCTTCACGGAACTAATACTTACTCAAATGCAATATATGTCAGAAGAGTTGCAGCTGAAAATATAGCAGATATCCCACAGCCTATGTAAGTGATAAAGGTGAGGGCCTTGGTATTCTGTGGGTCTATTTGCGTACTGGTTCTCTGAAGGTCCTGTGTGTAAAAGGAGGAAGAGGCATCAGTTAGAGCAAACACCTTTCCCACGAGCATAATGCTCTTTCTTGGTCATCAGTCAAGTAAAACTCAAAAGGACTTTGGCAACACCACTATAACCCTGACACCAGGGTTCATGTTTACTGAGTGTGCTTGGTTTATAGTCGTTACACCTCTCACTTCCTTCCCATAGCTCTTGAAAACATTGTGCTTCGAGTATTGCAACTGCTGGGATCAGCAGATAGACAGAGGCTGATACTGATCCTTTTAATTCAGTACCAGGAATTCAAAAGGCCTTCTCTGGAAAAATCTCCCTTTAACAAAACTTTTTAGTTCTGTTGCTTATAGACAACTCTCTTGAAGAAGATGTAATTTAAAAGTATTCATACTGAAACGTGCACCATTCTGGGCAGTTTCTGACATCACTTCTTGTTATTAAAAGTTCCTAAGAGTCCACGTAGCTAATCATCTACAGGTGAAACCAAGGGCAAGATAATGCTTTTTGGTTTTATGGTCTGTTTTGACATGCAAACTACAGTTATAAATAGAATCAGTCAGAAAAATAGTGACAAAGACAACATTTCAAAAAAACCCTGGAAATGAAGCAGGAACATTCTGAGGACTTTTTTTCCAGTTTTCTGTCCAACTGTAATTGCCACATAGTACCGTCTGAGAATAAATGCCAGTGTCATTTCCTTTTTTAAGGACAAGAAAAAATAGGACTGTTTGGATCTATATCACTGTGGAGTAAATGTGTGCAAATACCAACATCTAATGGTGTGTCTATTCTACAGCCAATGTAACTTGTCCCTAGCAAAACTATCCAGCAAAAAGAAACCAACAAAATGCTGCAGAAATTGCCATTCTTCACAGGAAAAGGAAGGAGCTGTATGAAGTTTTTTATACCCTGTCCCAACCTTATATGACAACTTATATCTATGAGGAGAGTGTTATTTGAGAAGAATTTAGCTATTAAATTGAAGTCAGAAAAGATTATCCAAATGGAAAAGCAATTAAAAGGGTAAAAACTGTGTAAAAATCTACTGGACCACAGCCTGAATTCAAATAACTTCTGCCTTATTTCCTACTGCTACAAAAGCGTTTGGGGAAGAGAAGGGACTCATTGAATATATCCTAAAGAAAGCCCTTTTTTTTCTCCCTTCGAGGATGAAAAGTGAAACAAGACCACAATTTAGCTTGGAAAAAGACAAAAAGCTTGTGGCTTTTTCATATCTACATCGGAGCACGACGTGAAGGGAGTAGCTCTGTTAAGAAGGCTCTGGAAGGCAAAAGCTGGAAAAGTCAGTGCAAGCAGCTGCCTTGTGAGGTTAATCCCTATGTGCCATTGCAACGAGTTAAATCAAAACCCAAATACTTCCACAGCATTGCTGTGATCAGCAGCAACCATCTTTTCTTCAGATATATCTTAGAGGCTGAAGAATGTTAATATTAGATGGGAAAAAAATGTGCCAGCCCACTACTGAGTGTAAAAAAACCATCAAATGTTAAGATAGAAGTTCCATATTTTTCATGTTGGGATTTTTTACTCTTGAAAACACTTTGCACGTGAAAATTGCTGGAGGGACCTGGATGCTAGAGGAATCATGCTACTGAAGCTGAAGTGCTCTATATGGTTTCCTTTTTCTTCTTCCTGCCTGATAGTCTATGCTTGACCTATCCCAGTCTGGAGACTTCGCTTCAGGCTCTGAGTACGAGCTACACATTTCGTACCAGCCCTCGGAGGGCAGATTTTTTCCAAGAGAAGACCTGTGCTGCAAAGCATCCCCAAAGCTGATTCAAGCCATTTGTGAGAAAACAGCAAATATGGGTTTACACAGTTCTCGAAAGAAGATAGTGCTTTATACTTTTCAACGTTAGACAAACATAAATTTTGTCAGATTTGCAACATAAGTTTGCAAGGGGCAGTTTAGCCCCTTGAATCTCAGGATGAAAGGGAATCATTCTTCTCCCTTGACTTTTTGTCCTCATTAGCAGTTTTACTGACTGTAGGATGTTTTTCTTTCCTTGACTGTTTTCCGTGACAATATGAGTCTCTCTCATTTTTTTTTTTTTTTTTATTCTGGAAATAGCACTTCAGCTTTTTCTCCTACTTTTTTTTTTCTGCAAACAACTTCCCACTTTCCTAATCTTGAAATTTCAAATAAACCTAGACTTGTTTCCATTTTCTTCCCTCTTGTTATACCCTCCTGTCTCAGTGGCAGGTCATTTTTGTCAGATTATATTTTTAAGGGAAATGATAGGGACCCCCTACACCTTAGGACTCATTAAGATATTTTTTTTTCTGTTTCACTAGTGGCAGTGTCAGTATTTGGGCCTTGGTTTTACAGTCCTCATCTCTCTTTTTCATCCAGCCATGTCCTGCCTTTGTAGTTGGGTGTTGCAATATGCTATTTGTACTTTGGTATTGCTCAGAAGCCTCAACTCCAGGTCTTCTGTGGCATAGTATTTTCAAAATTTAGAATACTCTTATGGACATGTTTTACTTTATATTTTATAATATTTAACCACTTGTAAAGAACATAATAGTAATAGTAATAATAATAAACATCTTTCATTACTAACTCTATTCATTACCTCATTCCTGAATCCTTATCACTAATTGTTTTGTTATGAAAATATAACTTTATGACAATAAGGAGGAAAATGATGTATCATTATTATATATAAAAATCATGTGCAAAAGGAATAACCCCAGCAAAAAAACCCAAGAGTTGTCTTGACTCAAGACAAAAACTGCATTGCAGTTCCTAGGAAAGATAACTTGGATGAAGGGTGAGTTTGCCTACCATTAGGACCCCAAAGTGTGTGAGGTGGTTGCATAAGCAAATGGTCTCATTTTCATTGGACTCTGGGTCCACTTCGCACCCCTCAGGGTTCCAGCCACCATTGCCATCTGTGGAAATGAAACAGGAGACACCGTACTGAACCGTAAACCTGAAAAGGCCATTCCAAAAAAAGAAGTAGAAAGATTTTATTTTTAAAAATTAAATGTTAAAAAGTAAAATTTGTATTTCCAATGACTTCTCCTTTCATTATTCCCTGCTAAAATATGAACTAATTTTGTGAAACAGTTCATATTCTCTGAAATCTTAAAGACATTTTTGCACAACTCCAGGCAAAATCCAGCAAATTATCTGACTGGCTCTGTAACTTTACCTCAAATTTAAGACAGAATCTCTCAAAAGACTGTGAAAATGTTCCAAAACCACCTAAAACTCCCCCACTCAAGCAGCCACTGAGAACAGTAGAATAGTTTCCTCCCTGTGTGTTTCTCCTTTGATGTGCTTCTTGAGCTTAGCTTCCTAGCTAGGGTCTTTTTTTTTTTTCTCTTTTTTTATCCTTCTGCATTCTCCTCAGTTCTTCTGTCTGAATTTCCTGATTCCAAATACAACTTTAGATGGTAAATTTTATTTCTTGCAAGACCCTCTGTACTAAACTCCTCCACCTGAAATCCTACTGCTAAGGGGAGTGACTTTGCTCTCTCTCTCTCTCATTGTAAGGAAGAGCAACACCTCAGGAGTGATCTCTAAAACAGAAGGATCTGGAAAATCAGCCCAGAGCATGGCTTTGTCTGTGCAATGGATGAAGAGCTCGAGTTCACAGGGGTTAGGCAGTAGCAATGAAGAATGAGCTAAAATGCTGCCTTGTTAATATGTGTCTCCGTATGGGATCTCATCACGCCGACTGTCACCCATTTACAAGGTGGATGACGTTTGTGTAAGGCAGTTCCTAACTTCCACAGAAGAAAAAACAGCTTGAGATTTGTAACAGGCACAATGTCACAATTAAATAACCCAACATTTTAAAAATGACCAGTTAGAAGTATGGCTAAGAATCATTCACGTGTCTGAGGAGCATTACTATTTAATTTGCACGTGCAGACAGATCAGATAGATCAGTGAAAAACTGCCATCAGATACGGAAAAGTAGAGAATATTAATTTAAAAATTTAAAATGTTAAAAAAAATAATAAAAAAAAAAACTTTAAGAAAGAATATTTAAAATCTGCTCTTACAAGCAGCTGTACTAACAGAAGAAATGATGCAATCTAAAGACTTCATCTTATTCTGCTGGGATTGATTAAGAAGCAAAAATGGCCAAGACTGTGACCAATTAAAAAACTTAGACACTTTTATTCCCATATAAAAGAAATTAGTATTTTTAAACTTACCATTTTTGTTCATATCCCAGAAGACACAGGTAGGTTTAGGATCTTCCTGAGAACACATGCAAAAGTAGACTTTATATACCTCTTCAGACATAAAATTCAACATATACATTTACAACAAATGTTTTACTGCATATCTTTTCATTTCGTCAGAAGAAGAATAAATATCATTTGGATTGTTGAAATTTTGTCTTGAGTCAAATTAGAACTTACTCTGCTAGAAAGACAGATGTGCCCAGGTTATGAACCCTGGAGCACGGTTCCTCTGTGCTGTTCCTTTTCCACATCCTCGGAATACTGAAGTTTTGTTGTCTCACTGAAGTTACCAGTGAGTACAATGACTTTACAGAGTCTCAATACTTTTTATGTTCACTTCCTTAGGAATTCTCAGTAACTGACCTCGAAAATGTGCAAAAGCCTGCTGAAGTCAAGTGAAGGTTGTTTTACCTGACCTTAAAATAAATATTATAATGAAATGCAAGGTAAAGTTAATCGAACCTTGAAAATTCCAAACCAGGTTCTCATTACCTAAACAATTTACTTAATTATTGCATTTTAACACCTTCTTTCTTAACTTCTCCAGGGCTCTTATCTCTTTTGGAGCAGCTGCTGACAACATGGCTTAGAACAGGGTCAAGCTCACATGGTTTTTAACTGAAACAGTATGTGCCAAAAGGTTGCAGTTGGTCTATATTTCCCTAAATTGATTGTAGTCATCTTTTAACAACGTGGTTCTGTCCGTTCTTCCTTTGGCAAAACCCACATAACAACAAAATAACTTTGGGAACTATTAACAAAGATATTCATGTTTGATCAAAGAATTCAAGCCATTTTAAAACTCCAGCGTAATAAATCGTGTCCCTGCTCACTGGTGATGAACGTAATCATAAACAGAGGTTTTGCCTCCAGTTTTTGACACAGAAATTGCCTCTGAGTAGCAGAATCAACAGTTTTTCAGACAAATGTTAGATCATGAATGGAATAGGCATGTGTGAGGATGGGAGAGGTTATTTGCTTTTACTTTTTGCTCACTTTTGTTCTAGAGTTTTTATTTCCATTTGAGTTTATGTTCATACTCAAAATCCATCCAATCAGGCTATCTGCTCAGCCTTTACTATATATAATCTGCATTCCTGTTTCCCCGAATAATCAGTCTTGTCTTACCTGAATTTTGGTATGTTTAATTGTAACCGTCACATAGTCCTGAAGATCCTGAATGGTTATGTTTCCAATACTGCATGCCACCACAAAACTAGTCAAATTGGCAGGATTTTCTGCATCCTTTGAAAGATTCAGAAGAATATAATGAATTCTTACATAGCACACAACATAAAGCCAGCACACACAGTTTCATTTTTGCAGCATGCCAGAATAAATAAATTGTCAGCATTTCTACACTTTCGATCACGCAACATAAGAACATTATGTTTATAAAATCAAATTATGGGTTTGCCTCATGGAAGCTTCCCTATTTTCCTTATAAACATATATAGGCACAATTACAGAGAGAGGTTAGAAGGCATAAATTCCTCTTTTAATCATTGTGCCTGAGGCCAACAAAATCATAACTCAAACAATGTAGCAGATAACAATCCATGATACGATTAGCTCACTTCCCTAAGCAAGAATGAACTAGCTTTCTTATCTTACTGTCAACGCTATCCTTTTTAGGAGATGTAAATTTTTTGGAGAACAACCTGTTTTCTGTGTATAGTAGCCAAATTATCCTCCATCTTACAATGAATGACTAAGAAGCAGTAAACAAATTCAAAGAACAGTTACATACTGGAGGAGATAATATTTTCAACAAGGTCTTATTTGATGGGAATTTAACTAAAAGAGTGACGTTATCACTGAGCAATGCCATTTCTAACCTGCAGTGAAAAAGTACCAGGTTGAGAACTTTCGAAAAGAGAAGTCTTCCTTGGAAACTGATGATTCATTAAAATGCAAGTGCTTTGGAAATACTATTTTCTTTAGATGATCTTCCATTGAAACTTGCAGAGTTGCATGCCTGGCTGGCCTTATGGGAAGCTGGAAAACTTGGTCACTGCCAGCAGCAAATGTTAGGTCAAATGAAATCTATTGCCACTCACTTTCCCTCCGAGTCACACCTCAATGGTGTCCATTCTTTTCCATCGACTGGCTTTGAAGGCAACTTATATACAACAGTTCAGGCATAAGTATGTATATTGAACACATCTGCCTTTTGTGAAATGAATCCCTTACATCATTTTTTCATATCGTCTTCTAAATAATGTAACCATCAGATTTTATTGAAGGATAAGATAAAACTTACTAGCATTCTCTCAGTTGAAAAAACCCCCAAAACCTCCAGTGCTGAAAAGTATGATGTTTCACTGTTATGTTGAATGATTATAAAGAATACAGCTGATAGCATTAGTTTTTTTTTTTTTTTAATTGCAAATGGAATAAATATATTTATGAAATACTTTTATACTAATGGATAAAGCTATTGGGTTTGAGATGGCATGTGGATCAATTTATTTTTAGGCTTTATTTTTAGCCTTTACTTATTTATTTTTTAAGACTATTTTTAGACTTACTAAAATGTGAGTTTTACACATTTTTAATTAATTCTGTTGAACATCTCACCCATGAATAGTTTGAAAAAGATACAAAAAAAATGGAAGGTATTTTAGCTGCAAATTTAAGCGCAAATTTTTCTGGTTTTGGCTTTTCAGTGACTTAGTAAGTATCCCTTAGAAACATATTCTAGCACCATTAAAGGACACATTCTGACTTTATATGATTTTAAGCCATTATGACAAGCCTACTTCTGTATTCTTCTGGTTTCTTTATGAAATATATCCATCCTGTTTTTCTCAAAAGTAGGATTAAAATGAACCCTATTTTAAATAGTTAAAGATACTTTGGAGTGTATTTCAGAAGGCAACTGAGGGTCATGGGTATTTTCTTGCCTAGATTATCTGAAGAATCTGGATACACTGCCAATAAAAACGATAATATAGGGACAATACAATACTACAGAGTTCTGCGGATGCACAAGAGCCAAAGGTCACTTTAAATACTAATGGGAAAACAAACTCAAGTCTTCTGAGGCTCAGCCTACGGTTCACTATGAAACAATGTTTCCTTCTTCATTAACTCATTATTTTTTTCAAAATAGGTATGGTTTTGGTTGTTTTTTTTTTTCCCAGCGGCAAACTCTTCCTAATTTTTTTGGCATCTACCATACAGCAACTATTTAAAATTATCATGTGATGGGACCCAAAGAGGAAGAAATTAAAACTACCTGAGTCACTTTAGTTTTCAGGTACAAGTATTGTTATCCTTATTCCATATTAAAACACATTGTGCTTATGAGAATACTAATATGAAAAGAAGAATAGTACGTATAGAAACAAATATTCTCCGGCTGATGACCATCAGCCCAGAGTTTCCAACTGAATATAAGTAGTCAGCTAGATATGAGTGCCAACCAACTCTTCTAAGGAAAAGAGAGAGTACTTGGCAGTGTTACAGGCCAAATTCCCTCCTGATAGAAAAGAACCTGGCTCCACTGAACATCAAGGAGATCCCTGGAAGTGTTCAAGGCCAGGTTGGATGAGGCTTTGAGCAACCTGGTGTAGTGGAGGGTGTCCCTGCCCATGGCAAGGGGGTTGGAACTAGATGACCTTTGAGGTTCCTTCCAACCCAAACCATTCTATGATTCTATGATTGTATGCATTCGTGCCCATTCTATGATTCTATGATTGTATGCATTCATGCATTCAAGACCTCACTAGGTTCCTTCCAACCCAAACTGGAGCCCCCAACATAAGAAGGACATGGACCAGTTGGAGAGGGTCCAGAGGAGGGCCACGAAGATGATAAGAGGGCTGAAGCACCTTTCCTATGAGGACAGGCTGAAAGAGTTGGGGCTGTTCAGCCTGGAGAAGAGGAGGCTCCGGGGTGACCTTATAGCGGTCTTCCAGTACCTCAAGGGGGCCTACAGGAAAGATGGGGAGAGGCTGTTCAGGAGGGCCAGTTATGATAGGACAAGGGGTAATGGTTTTAAAATAGAGGGAGGTAGGTTCAGGTTGGATATTAGGAAAAAATTTTTTACTATGAGAGTGGTAGAACACTGGAACAGGTTGCCCAGAGAGGTGGTGGATGCTCCATCCCTGGAGACGTTCAAGGCCAGGTTGGACAAGGCCCTGAGCAACCTGATCTAGTTGGAGATATCCCTGTTCCTTGCAGGGAGGTTGGACTAGATGACCTTTGAAGGTCCCTTCCAGCCCTAACCATTCTATGATTCTATGATTGTATGCATTCGTGCATTTTAACAGAAGTTATGCCCTTTAAGAGGCCTTTCTACTTTACTCTGATTATAAGCAGCTGGGATCCAGTTTTCCATAGATCATCTTGAGAAAAAGTTTATCTCATGTGACAGGAATTTGCAGTCAAATCACTGACTTGAATTCGACTTGGGCACTCCAGCTATTTTGTCACTCTGAACGTAACACTGACTCTAGTGCTATCACCTTCTCGTTCCTATAACTCACGAGATGCCGTTAAATGATTACACTACAGGAAACTTTTAGCAGCTGCTTTTGACTTGCCCTAACTGAAATGACTTCAAACACATTAAAGTTTACCTGAAAAAGACCATTTTTATTGAAGAAAGTAAACTGAGCCCTGGATATAACTTCAAACTCATCTTGGCTTAAATTCTTCAGTAAACTTGGTGGCAGAACAACAGAAGCGTAGGCGTTTGTCTGATCTTTGTCAAAATCTATCTGTTAAATAAAAACAACAGAGGAACATGTTCAAACAAAAAACCAAACCATCCATGGTCCACAACTGGATTCACATCCTTACACAAAGATACCTAAACAGAGAACTAGAACCAGTCAACACTAATATGACCTGTACCTATGTAAAAGTTGATGCAATCAATCAATTAATCAATAAATAAAAGGCTGAGGAGGTTTTCCCACCCTTCCAACATGAGATCAGCCTTCTGCTACAGAAAGGTATTAGATAAAGCAAACAAATAAACAAACTCCTCCACTGCTATAACGATGATTTGGAAAGAATGAGATTGCAATAACGGCAGTCACAATAATTTTTACTAACCTTCAAGATACTTTTTCTCATACCAAACAATGTTTGGAACTGAAAAATACACTCTGAATCCTTCTTTCTTGAGTTGTATTATTTGGCTTGATCTATACATGTGAATTAATTCTCTTATGAGCTTTTCTAGTTTCCCCGTTACAGAAGGGAGATTTTAAAATAATGATTAGTGCCACCTCTCTACATTTATCGTGCTATGAAGCACAAAGAAAGACACTTTCTGCCATCAATAGAAGCTTCACCTATACTGGCAACATGTCAGACAGCTGAAAGCCCTCTATGGCACAGGGATGTAACAAGGGAGCAGGAAATAAATGAGGATGCAAACCTGCATTTCATTAGCTACCATTGCAGGCAGCAACACTATGACTGCACGTTCTCGCACCATGGCATGCTCAAGGTGTGCCACCCTGCCCATCAAAGGAAGGGGAGAAATCCATCTCTCAGTGGCTCTATAGTAAAAGTGTTCAAGAATTTTACTGAGATAAGGAAACTCACACTCCTGACTCCTCCAGAGGCAACTTGGTCATGGATTTATGCCTCTCACGATCAATCATGTGATTCTAAAAGCACCATTATTTAACAGAAAGTTAAAAGCCATAGGCTACTGATATAGATTTATTTAACTTCTAAATTTTCCCTGATTTACTGCGAATAACAGATTTATTTAACTTCTAAATTTTCACTGATTTACTGTGAATAACAGGTGCCCCTGGAAATAAGAAGTGGTTCCCAGATATCTCCCGACGGGGCTAAATGCAGTTGAATAAAAGGTTTTCAAAGGATAATTCTGCCACATTAAACAGAAAGCATGTGCGTGGTAAAGATGTCCCATTAGGTATTGTCTGCAAACAGAGTGGAAGAGGCTTCTATAAAGAAGTACGGATATATTACAGGAACAATTTAATAATATGAATCACCAAAGCCCAGCAGTCAAAGGTTTGGCAAGAAACAGAAAGACACAGGGGACTGAAATAGAATCTTTCCATATTGCCATGGATACATTTGCTTGATATCTACTTTAAGAAAAAAATCTGGAAACATTCTGACATGCAGCTTGAAGAGTTTAATGCTCTCTGATGAGCCTGGGATAGATGATTGCATCACTGGTGAAAAACCTGGACTTTCACAAGGGAATCTCCCTCCAGCAGGGATAGCAAGTATCTGTCCTGATAGGCATGGAAAATATAAACGGAGACCACAGCTGTTGCAGACTTTTCTGGTAGGAAGGATGTTAAGAATTTTCAATCAGCTGTTGGAAATGTAAAAGTCTGAGAACAAACTCATGTTCCAGTAGGAACATTATAAATAGTTTGACAGAGTTTGGATTTTATGATTATTTAGACAGTGCTGTAATAAATGATTCCTGGGCAAGAAAATTCCTGGATGTCCTCAAGCCACAGATGGTAATTCTTATTATACATGCGAACATCCCAAACCTGACTTCAGAATTTTTCCTTTCCTCTTTCCATAAATACAGGATGAAATCTGGAGGAGAAACGTTCCTTTGGTAACAATCAAAGAACAATCAGCTATTGAGCTTCATTAATAAGAGAGCAAAAAAAATTAGATTCACCATCATCAAAAATTTCGAATAAAATTGATTCAAAGAATTTTTAGCCAAAATGCCTATCAATATAAATATGTGAAAACTCAATTACATTAAATCCATTTGAATCTATTTAACCTAGCATTTGAGTTTTGATCCAAAGTCTATAAACACAGCATGTAAAAAGCCTGCAGCTTATTATATTACTACTACTTTATTTTAGTACTGCCTTCGCTACTCTTTTTGATTTTTACAGTACATAGCATTTTATAAAATGATCAGATATTTATTACGATTGTTGTCTTGCCAATTTGCAGCGGGAACTATTTGGTCCCATAAGATGCTTATACTCTAATGATTAGTCTTTAACCATTTTCTTAATGCCATGTTTTGCTTGGATTCAGATTTGGTTCCTCTGGCCCAAACAATAGTAATTTTTTTAATTTTTCCATTTAATCTTTTCTATGTGTTTCTCCAAGAAAGGCTCACTGTACTTCAACAGTTAGACTCCTAACTAAGGAAACTGAGATTACATTACCTCTGTCATAGACTTATTATATAACTGTGAAAAAAATATATTGCACTACATTTTTAAAAGCATTTAGGTGCCATAAGATGCAGATAGGCACATAGTTAAATTTAAAAAGTCTAGATATCTCATTGCTACTGATTTCAGCAGAACCTTTGGACTATCCCAATAGGTGCTCATGTGCATCTCAAATGCTACTGCACAGCTTTTAGATGTCTGAGCTTTTTTTATTCTTTTTTTATTCTTTTTCTTTTTGTGAAAAAAAAGAACAAATTTTTTTTGACATGATGACAAATATCTTAACTATAGCAGCCTGTCTAGATACTGTAGTACTGGAGACCATTCTGCATTTTGAGTGATCTGTGTTTCTTTTATTTTCATGTCTAGGCTGGTCGAGCTCCATGGGAATGTCTTGAACAGCCTCGGACATCTCAAATGGCACAAGCCTATCAAGCTACATGTGGACAACTGGATCAGCCTTAGGTCTCTGTTCACAGTAGGTGTTTAAAGTATACTAGAAGATTGAAGACCTGCTGTACCTGCAGAAATCTACATGTAGATAGCTACATTTAGGTGTCTTTATTCTAAAGCTGAAATGTATCAATCAAATTGTTAGTTACTGTACAATGGGTAATACAGCAGACTGTTAAAGATTATTTTCCCTTTTCATTAGTTTAAAAAAAAAAAAACTAAAAATGATAAAGTCTCTTCTGGATCTGTATGCAAATTACCTTTCATCCGTGTGGAACATGTAAGTTTATCTGGGTTTTCTAACACTCAAGGAAATACTACATAAATCTGTTTGGGTGATTGCAGGAAAAAGGAAATAGAAAGTAGGGGGAGAATTGGGAGTTGTAAGTGGTTTTATAGGAACCACAGCAAACACACTTGGAACAACAGGCACATTTCATGTTCAAATACGACTGCTTGTTCCATACCTGGAAATCCGATGCATTATTCTGTGGACTGACACTGAAAGAACCACCTTTGAATGAAGTTGAGTTTATAGAAGACACTCCAAGTGCGAGATTTCGTGTTGAAATACTCATGGAGGGCCCAGTGAACTGGATCTTTAAAGCCAAGGCATCAATAGTTTTTAGAGCTCTAAAGACAGAAATAAAATTATTCTAAAAATTGAATACAGGAAAAATAACCACAAACCATACTCTGTATACACTCCATGTTTAAGATGATCCTTTTATTATTGACTGTGTTTGTATCACCCATCTGTGTGTTCACAAGAAGACTGTCAGGCCATAATTTTATGTATCTCTGTTGAAAACAAATGCTTTTGATTGACAGAAACTATCTGACTACGTATCACTGGTCCTGAAATAATTTTTCAGCAATACTTAAACCTATGCTGTGTCACGTATCAGGAGACTTCTTTTCCAAATACTTTACCTTTGTCATGCACATTAATTTTAGTACAAGAAGAAATATTTGTATATCTAATTTGGAAAATTATTTTTGCTGGAAATCAGAAAAGTTCGATTTTTGTACTGCAATTGTTTGTCTACATATGGAACGGTGAATCCTTCCCACCTTGCACGTTGCTTTCAAAAGCTTGTCTCAAATGCAGAAATACTTACTCTGAAGATGATGCTGCCAACACACTGTCTGAACTGTTCAGAATATTGGAAAAAATTGTCACCACGGTAGAACCCAGAGATTGGTCAATTTCTTCATCGTTCACAATTTTTTTGAGCTTCTGAACAACATCATTTACTTTGTCTGAGGTTAGCTGCTGCCCTTCACCAGTGAGATTTAGAAGCTGATTGGCTATATCAGCTGCATTTTCTGTAAGCATACATGAAAAATGAAGTAAAAAGAGAAAATAAGGCATATCAGTCCTGAAGTAATTCAGAAATACAAATTTTTATCTTCATTGTTGAAAGCTAAAGCACGTCCTGTGGTACTTACTATCATTTTATCAAATTTGTAATTTTATGAAAAAGTATATAGAACCTGCTGATTATTATACACCGTTCTCATTGGCTGTGCCTTTCTTTTCCTTAATTTGATTTGCATTTGTAAATCCAAACAATTATTGAAAAGGCTGATTGAAAGAAAAAAAAGGAAGCAAGAAATCGAAAGCATATTTTCTCTCTTTTTTTCTCCTTATGCTATCCTTTTTTTTTTTCACTGGGAAAAACAGTTTCACTCTTGAAGTGAAACAAATGCTTCTCAAGTCACTATAACTGACAGAATATTCATTTTTTTAGGCTTTGGGGAGAAAGTCTGACCCCAGTGTAAATGTTTCAGTTCCTTCAGAGGATCGTACTCTCGCTCAGAGGGCTGGCAAGCACAACACACCAGCAAATTTCACGAGAAGAATCTTCCTGGTAAGGAGAGTTTGATAGTGTGTCTGATGGCAAAAAATTACTGTAAATCACATGTTAAACTGTAAATTTGATGCCACCTGCACAGAAAACTAGTGTAAACACTAACATTTTACAATAATGAAATATTTGAGATTTATTTGAATTTGCAAATGAGATTTGGAAAGAAGATCAGCCTTCTTTAATCAGTGTCTTTTTAAAGTTGTGGTTTATAATACAGCTTTTGCTACATTTACTATAGAATGTTCATTTTACATGAAACGACGTTTTCATATAGCCTGGCTGGAAGTACTCCATCAACTAAGTGAGGTAACCAGGCTCCTGAGGACCCCTCTATCAGTGGAGAGAGAAAAAGAGACTTCTCCAAGAAAGAAGTTCAGAACAGGAGCTTACTGGAGGTGCTCTGAGTTGCTTATAGGAGTATCACTCTCCTCACTAGTTCTGGCACTAAAAAAGGGGGCCATAAAATTGTTGTCTATTCATTTTATTACCCCTTTAAGGCCAGGATGACATCAAGGGGTATTTTGCAAACTGAGAATAAATCTGAAAATGTCTGATCGTAAGCCCAGTGAAGAGTGGGAGTCTTTCCACTGGCACCTACAGGCACTGGAAACATTTAAAAATTTGCCTCTATCCTTGCTTAAATTACCTGAAGAGTTTGATTTATTTCATTAATTGGTACCCAGAGCTTTTCATGGGTGGGCTTAATTCTACTTGGTGCACTTCGCAGAGTTCAGATGTTTACTTTGCACTGATTTTTCAGAAAGATTCTAAGCAACTTAGCATAAAGGAGGAAAATATTCTCCCTTAATGTAACTTCCTTATAGTAAGCAATAACCAAAGTCTACAAAGCTATGCCTTTAGCCAAAGACCAGCAGCAATATACCCACCTGTGCAATTTCTAAGATCAGGCTGGCCCCAGTATGATGTATAATTCTGCAGACCCAAATAGCTAAAGAGGAAAAATGACAAAATTCACATGAAATACAAAAGTAAAACTATGTAAGTGTTTCAGAGTTCTTTTATAGGTGTCACAGTGGTCCACGCTTCTCAATTCACAATTTTCCTAGCAACATGGCCCCTAGTAAAATGAAATATGTATGCTTGACAGTGGAAATATGCAATCAATACAGGGACAACGCTGAGACAAACCCTAGTTCTTTTGAACAAATTCCCAGTTGATTCCTATACTGATTTGATAAACTACATCAGTGGAAATTCTGGCCTCGTGTATCAGGAAAGATCCAAATGTTGACACAAACTATTATGCCCCTATTGTGGCCTAATCAGATGCTGTTTCTATAATTTCCCTTTGATACAAATGGCTTTGATCAAGTCAATAGCAAGTTGCAATACCTCTCAGAAGAACATGCCCAGGAGCTATGTGAAGATACAAACTTGTGCCACCAAAACTAGGGCAGGTCACCATCAGATCCAGGTTCGAGATGAGGGGCAGATATTTAAAAGATATTTTATATTAAAAGAATAAAGATTTTTTTTCAAAATGTTTTTTTTAAAAAAAGTCTTACCATAGCAAAATACTCAGATATGGCTCCAAAATCAAACATCTTTTTTCCTCATTTTTCTTTAAAGACAATCATGTTATCACAGCATGGCAAAGGCAGGATGGACAATGGGAAAAATGACCCTTTCACTCAGCACATGATAGAATAAAGTTACTCCTCAGTTGATCATCTTCATTATAACAGCCCACTAGCAGGTAACCTTCTACTGTGGGATGCACCGGACTAGAAGAGACCATTAGAAGAGCTTCCTCTTCTCTCAAAACACATCCCACCTGTGCTCCATATCAGCAAAAGCTGGTGGAGGCAGAGGTGAGGAAACCATAGCACAGTGCAGAACACAGCAATATTTTTACGAGAAGTGCTGTACACAGACAATCAATGGTATTGTGTAGACCACAAATGAACAATAAAGATAAGCAATACCAGGGCAGCAAAGGCCAGAAGCCTTAATTTTTAATGATTCTGAGGCTCTGACATAAAAACAATTTGAATTCTGCACTACTCACTCTACAACAAAAGTCGGTCAATCAGAACCCAAGAGTTCTTGTGCAAGGTTAAGAGGCTGAGGAAGTGAGTTAGTTAAATATAATGCTGGTTTCTTTCCTGTTTGGCACAGAACCTCGAAGCTGATTCATATCCATGTTGCCATATTGTTTTCAAAAAGTAAAAGATCTGGTCTTCTCAGAACATGTTCCAGATGCAATGTGGGTGGATAAGACTACTATATTGCATTTGATAGTGATCATCCTAAATACTAAAGAAATTAATTAATATTGCAACATCATAGCCATGTTCCAGGCAGTCAAAGGAGATCAAAGCCATATTGTTTTGGTAATATATCACAGGAAGTAACAATATTCCCATTTTACAAATGACAAATAGAGATACAGTATCTAAATCTTTGTAGATGTTCACAAAGAAAGTCCACATTAGGGAAAACTTATTCTGAACCTTAAGAACACAAGTTCAAATCTTTAGGCATGACATTATTCTCACCTTCAATATGATTAACTACTGGCAAAATGCTTGTTTCACAGGATTTCTTTTACTTTCCCTTAATGAGATGAGAGGTTCTGTATTAAACCAAACACATATCTTCACAGAATTTTGCTGAGAATTTTTTATACAAGTCAGATAGTAGTAGCAGAGTGGTAGCAAATGTGAAACTTTGGTTTCAGTAACGTAGACATCATGACTTGAAGAAAGTCACTTCATTCTGTAAGAAAGTGCTATTTTTATAGTGACTTTCAACATGTATTAATTATGGGCCTCAATATTCCCTACAGAAGTGGCAGATGAGCTTTTTTTTCTTACCAATCAAGTACATACTCTTACTGTGCACACATAATCTCTCACAGTATAGAAATCATCTTTCTGAAATACAATACCAGCCAATGGCAACCGTTTTGGAGGGTGCAATTAAACTATATAACCAGAAAGTTGCATTTGAAGCTCTCAGCTTCTCAGGTATTTGAACACCTACCATGTTCTTGATGCAGTCTGAACAGAGCTCCCATGGCATAATGTGATGTTGGTCACAGTTGGTCTGGTATCTGGCCAAAAGTAGTTCGGAGGGTTTTCTTCAGCTAAACATTTTTCTATAAAAGTAAAAATACATCACCATTAACGGTAAATTTCTTTGTCTGCTCATCTTCCATTTCTTGTTCTCAGCTCATCAACCAGTCTACAGCACAAAGCTGTAGAATCATAGAAAGAATCACAGAATGGCACAGGCTGGAAGGGACCTCAGAGATCATCTAATCCAACCTCCCTGTCATGGGCAGGGACGCCTCTCAACTAGATCAGGCTACTCAAGGCTCCGTCCAGCCTGGCCTTGAACACCTCCAGGGAGGGGGCATCCACAACTTCTCTGGGCAATTTATTCCAAAGTCTTACCACCCTCCTACTGAAGAATTTCTTCCTAATGTCTTCAAATGAAATGCAAGGTTGGTATCTATAGAGTAGTGGCAACGGAGGGGTGCACCACAGGGAATGACATACACTGCTGCTGTGCGAGGGAAAGATTGGACAAGCGTGTTGCGTCCACTTGCACTCCACCAGCCCCCACCTCCTCCCTCCACAGGGAAGGGCAGTCTCTGGCTGGAAGAAGTTGAATGGGAAAAGATGAGAGCTAAAAGGAGACTGATTAAGGGCAGCAGCTGTCAGGAGCACAAACAACAGGGTTGAGGAGTGGGCATGAGAGGTCTTGGAGGTCCAAAATGTCTCGTTATAGCTCTGGCTGTAAATCATACTTCTTTATCCTCCAACTGCCAGAGGAGCTGCCAGGAACTGTCCCAGCCTCTTTGAATCAGACAGCAAAACACCGACTAAAGGAATCTGGATGACTGTGTTTGTGTTAAAAGAGATCTTGAGCATGGAGCTCTGAGATTAGTGGAACAATGAAGCTTAAAAGGATGATTTAAAATCTGAAACAGTCGTATCGTTTGGAAGTGTGTGATTATTTTAACACAGAAGATGGACAAGCATATTTATGGGCAAGCAAACAAAATCTATGGTGTTACAAAGCTGAAAACTACTTACCCACTGGATCAACATCCACAGTATGAAGCTTATATCCTCCTTCCATGGTCCCATTATTATTTATGAGCTTCTGTCGGATGTCTTCCTCTTCTAAATTGATGTTGTTGGTAGAATTATAAACCAGAAGAGCCAAAACCCCAAAACTGCAAGGAAAATTATCCGAGTGTTTGAGTCAGAACAGCAGAGGCCAAATGTGTGGAAATAAAAATATCTGACAAACTCTGGTTTTCTGAGTACGGAACAGTGTCACCAAGACAATGTTGCTCATTATCTGTAAATGATTATTTTTGAATACATAGGGCCACGACAAGAAAGTACAGGTGAGACATTTCATCCTCTAGTTACCACTAAAGAAGCATCTGGTCAAAAGAGCTAAGAAATATTTTCAGAAGATTTAGATTATTTTAAAAGATATTAAAAGATGAAAGCATAAATTTGTGAGTTGCGAGTTCTAAATGGGCCCTAATTAAATTTAAAAATCTGGTTGTTGATGGCTTAGGAACTGAAGAGCTGATTCATCCCATCTTACAAAACTTGTCAGGATGGGACAAGTCATCCTCTGGAGGGCCTATCTCTCCACCGACTACAGAGGAAGACTAGGACATTAATGAAAAACAGATGTTACATTTAAATGAACATCTAAATGTCTAAATTTTGATGGAGTGAAAAACACCCTGACACACTTCTGAAAGTTTTAGTCCTAATTAGGAAAGTCTAGTTGCTCAGATGAGTAATTCAAGTTTGAGCATTAATAGCTGTTTTGTACCGTAGCCCACTGCTACTTTCTTGGGCATAAGAAGTAGTTCAAAGTGCCCGAGTCTCTTTCCTGTGAGAGAAATAAAACAGTCCCCACCCTTGTCCAAAAACATAGCTTTTCTGGAAGGGAAATAATGAACAGAAAAGCAGTTCTAGCAGGATGCAGGAAAGAAGCCCAGAGTGGAAGGTTCAAAAATTTCCTCCTGGGACACAGAAAACACATGTTGGAGAAGAGAGTATGTCGGTACCCAAGAGCATTGCTTGGCTTTGGCTAGTAGGAGGTGACGCCACTGAAGCATGGAACATTGGATCTCTATGGGAGTCAAAATGTGGAAAGAAGGAAAAAGCAAGCCTGCTTCGGGCTGTCTTCGTCTTAGCCTTGCCCTTGGATACCGAGCAGCCTGAATAAAGACAGACCTTCGTGGTGTGGGAGCAGTTCCTGGCAGCCTGGGAAGTGGCAGCAGTGCCAGCACACACAGAGTGAACAGGGCACACACCGAACCCAGCTGCTCCCACCAGCGGCCCCCCGTGCAAGAACGAAGACATGAGCCACCGGGGATT